ACCCACTGGTGTCACCCCTCAGGGAATTAATCGGTGAGGACACCCCAGCGAGGCACTGTCCTCAGCCCCTCTCCCCTCCTCCTGCCCGGCCCGGCGTCCCGTCCACACCCTGCGGCCGGCTCCCCCTCCCTCGGGCCCTTCCCTTGGTCCCCACCACCCAGCGGTGCCCCAGCCCCAGCCCAGGCGTCTGCCTCCTCCATGAAGCTTCCCTGAGGGCAGGGCAGGTTCCTTCGCTGCCGGGATTTAACCTGTTTCCCTGAGGCGTCGCCCCCCCGGGGGTCGCAGGGCCTCACTATTGTCACCACACGCGGCCGGTCCCCTCAGCTTCCCGTGACCACACGCGGCCGGTCCCCTCACGGCAGTGGCTCCGCGGCGCTCGGAAACCCTCTTGGGGAGCCAGCAGAAGCCGGGCTCTCCGTGGCCATCAGCCTCACGCAGGCTGTTCTCTGAGGACAGAGTCGCGCCCCCTCACCCCCCACCCGGCACCGGGAGCTGGTTCCCAGGTGCCCCCGGCCTCAGGCCCGGTCTCATTCTTGGCTGCAGCGGGGCAGCTCCCCAGGCTCTCCTGGAACTCCACACCCAGGGGCGCCCAGTCCGGACAGTGAGAGCCCAGCCGCACCCCCGGGCGGGTGGCGTCGGCCGCTCTGCTGTGTGGTGCCCAGGCCGGGCCCCCAGGGAGTGAGGGCCGGCCCCAGGTCGGTCCTGGGACTGAGAGTCGAGCTGCCGGGTCTTCCTTTCCAGCCAGGCCCCCCGGTTGGGCCTTCGCATTGAACCTCCCCGGCTGGTGGTGAGCGCCAGCCTGCCCCAGCACACGAGGCCCGTGGCCCAGCGCCCACAGTCCCACCTCTGGTTGGTGTTGGACCCTGGGCCTGCGCAGGCACCCCCAACGCCTCCAGCGACGGGCAAAGGCGGCGTGGGCCCATGGGGCAAAGGCGGCGTGGGCCCTGGCGGAAGCTCCACGGCCTCAGGCCGTGGCTCACCTTCCGGGAGCCGGGTCATGGGGGGACGTGGGGGCGGCTCCCACTCTGCAGAGAGGACGCTGGGGCCTGAGGCTCAAGCTCCTGCAGGTGGGACCTGGGGCCAGCTGGGGGCTGGGGCTCAGGTGGGGGTCACCATCCTTTGCACCCACCTCGGGCCAGGGTGCCGCGCCCTGGGGAGCAGCGGGAAACGAGGCTGCCATGGGGGGCACCCAGTCTGGCGGTGAGAGAGCAGGCATGGGCATGGGGTGTGGCTGAAGGTGCGCCCTGAGCTGTGCCACCTGGGGGTGGGCATCCTCGTCTCGGTTCAGACCCGGGTGGGGAACGTCCCGACGTCCGGCCCGCAGGCCACAGGAGGCCCTTGGGATCACGTGGTCGTGGGCCAAGGCCTTGGGAGTTACACGTGTGGCCACCGGAGCTGCGAGGCCCGGGGAGGAGGTGGACGTGCCCGTGGCCCGGCAGGGACCAGGCTCCCACCCTGGCCTGGCCCTCGCCCTACCCCCAGGTCCTGGGACCCAGAGCACCTGTTCCCTCCTCGGGGCTTG